TGATATTTGCTTCACGTATTTTGGAGCACTTTCATTGGGTGCATAAATATTTATTATTGTAACATCTTCTTTGTCAATTGACCCTTTCAGCATCATATAATGTCCTTCTTTGTTTCTTATGATGTTTTTCACTTTAATGTCTATTTTATCAAAAATTAATATTGCCACTCCTGCTTTTTTTTTGGTTTCCCTTGGCTTGGAATGTCTTTTATTCCATCCCTTAACTCTTAATTCGTTTTTATCTTTGTGTCTAAGGTGGGTTTTTTGTAGGCATCATATTTACGGGTCTTCTTTCTTATCCAGTCTGCCACTCTCTTTCTCTTGATAGGTGTATTTACTCCATCCACACTGAGTGTAATTAATGATAGATATGAATTGATTGCTGTCAATCTATTGTGTTTTTTTTTTGTCGTATTGTTGGTGTTTCCTTGGTCCACATACTTTTCTGTGCTGAGTTCAGTTTGTTGGCTAATGCCTTCTCCCTTTTCTTCTTTATTCTTGGTTTTGCGCTTATTCAACCCATACGTTTTTCTTCCTTCTGGATTTGCGTAGGAGGATTGTTACTTTTCTCTGTGCTTACCTTGGAGTATATTCTTGTCTCTACATTTTTAGGACAGTGTGTGCTGTGAAGATATTTTCCTCTCCATTTGGAAGTTTGTACCTAGAAGTTTTATTTTCTCTGATAGGTTAGTTGCTGTTGTAGTGTGCTGACTGACTTCCTTGGTTTTTAGTGTACAAAGTTTTATGGTCTTATTTTTAGTTTATATTTCTAATTTGGTTTCAGTGTTGATGCCATGTATACTGATTTTGTTGATCTCTGTTGTGGGTTCTCTATTTGAAGAACTGCCTTAAGTTAAGCATTTCTTGTAGGGTTGGCCTGGTTTATACAAAATCCCTTAATTTCTGTTTGTCTGATAATACCTTGATTTCGCCCTCATATTTAATGGATAATTTGACTGGATATACGATTCTTTGTTGGAAGTTCTTTTCCTTCAGTGTTTTATATATGCCATCCCATTGCCTTCTTGCCTACATGGTTTTTGTTGAGTAATCAGAGTTCAGCCTAACTGTTTGATTATTATAAGTAATATTTCTTTCTTCCTGGGCAGCTCTCAAAAATATTTCTTTGTCTTTGCTTTTACAAAGTTTGATTATAATATGCCTTGGTGTTTTTGTCTTGGGATCTATCTTGCGTGGAGTTTTAGGAGCTTCTTGGATAAATATCTTTTCTTCCATCAATATATGTGGTTTAAGTTTTCTGTTAGCAGGTCTTCCACAATGTTCTTGATGTATTTTTTCACCTCTTCTTGTTCTGGAATTCCAGTGAGTCTCATGTGGTTTCTTTTCATGTCATCCCATATATTTCTTAGGTTCTCTTCATTTCTCTTAAATCTTTGTTCTGATTTCTTTTTTCATACCTGCTGTTGTCCAGGGATTTGTCTTCTAGTTAGGATGTGCGTTCTTCACCCAGTTCTAACACACTCTTTTGTGCTTCTACTGTGTTGTGTAATTCTGTAATTTTGGTATTCATCTTCTGGATTTCTAACTGCTGTTTTTGTATGAATTCTGATTGTCAATTAATCTTGTTAGTTTGTTCCTGAATGATTTTCCTGAGTTCTTCCAGGAAACTGTCTGTGTTCTCCTTGTTTCTGTTTGGGGTTTCCTTAGGCTACTGTAAAGTTCTATATCTTCTAAATTCCTTCTCAGATAATTGTATTGCCTACTTTTCCTTGATGTTTAATGAGACTTTTGTGGTTTTGGTTCTAACGTCTTGTCCTGGTTTTTGTTTGATTTGAGGTTGCCTGTTGTTTCCTAGACATTTTGAGGTTGTTGTTAACTGCTGGTTATATACCGATTTGTTTAGTCTTGGTTTTATGGTATAACATTTTGAAAAGGTGAAGCTGGTCTATTTGTTTGTTTAGTTATTAATTCAGGTATGCTGGCTTGCTTTGCAGTTTTCTTTGTGATGGTAGAATCACTGTGTGGAACATGGATATGGGTTTCTGTTTGTTATAAAGAGGTTTAGAATTTGAACTCGAAGATTTTATGTTGACTGAATGTGGTTTCTTCTATTGGATGAGTGAGGTTATTGGCGGATAAAGTGGGCATGGAAGGAAAGCTTGCTGTGGCTAGGGGCAGTTTCTAGGGCTTTGAGCGGGCTGCTGCTGCTGATGTTGTACTGTTATTTTCTTGCCCGCAGCTCAATTTCAGCAAAGACTTCAGTTGTTAGGGGGTTGCCACTTTCCGCCAGGCTCAGACACACGTAAAAACCCCACTACCAAGGCCCCTTGGTGCCAACCAGCCGACAAGACAACTTCTCGGCTCTGCAATCTGTCTCAGGGATTTCTCTCTTTGGCCCCACTGGCCCAGACCACAATCCACCTCAGGAGCTCTTCTGTGAGTCTATCCACCTGCAGTGCAAAGATCCATTCGGTTTCAGCAGTGCTGGTTTCAGAAGAGTGCCTACTAGTAATCCGTGGTCACAATATTACTGATAAAGTCAAGCGTGGGCCTCTCAGTGCCACTAAGCTGACCCAAGCCTACTCAGTGACTCACTGTGGGGACACCTCCCAGCAGCACCACTGGACTGTCTGCTCGGGTTTCAGCAGTGCTGGACTTGCCTGTTTGTCCCTAGCCAACCCAGGTTACCGATAAAATCAGGTGCTAAAGGTAGATCCTTGGGGTGATCACTGGCATGCTGGAGTGGTGTGTCTTCTGCCTTAACCCAGAGAGGTTTCGGATGGCCGTTCTCGCCTGTCGGTCGCTCCCCCAGGGAAGTCTCCGATGGCCTTTCTTGGCTGCCTGTCTGCGCTCCTCAGGATAGATCTTCTTATTCTTTTTTTGCCCTGTTCCTTTCTCCTAATTCCACTCCTCTCAGTTTGGTGCACTCCGATTCAGTTAGTTGTTCAGAGCACCAAAATCCCTAATTCAAACTGCTGTACCTAGTTTTTCAAGCACTAAGATACTAGAGGGAAATAGCGTGGTGACTATTGACAAGACTCCATTTTGAATCCCTCTGAATAATTATCTTAATAACAACTCACATTTTCTGAATGTCAGGTATGTTTTACATTTTAAATAAAACCTCAGAATGACCTTAACAGGTGGGTGCTATATATATCCTTGTTTTACAGATGACATCACTGAGACATGGAGAAGTTAAGTAACTCATTCAGGATCACAGAGCAAATAAGAAATAAAGATTAGATTTGAAGACAGGTAGTCCATACTTTCAACAACACAGCTAGTTTGAGTTGGGAGAATCCTAAAACTGTGCAGGAGAACTGGTTCAAATGTCCTTCTGTCTGCCAGTATGTGCCTTCAGAAAGTAACACCTTTCTGTGACTCAGATTCCTCACTAGCCAATGGAGATGAGAATGCAAATCCAAGAGTAGATATAAACTGACTATGAAAAGATCGAAGGCAACATTAAAGAAAGGTTTTTTTGAGGGAACTGTCTCAATCCATTCTAGGTCCCAAGGGACAGGGGAATGGAGCTTCCTATTTTCTGAGCACCTCACTGCATAGCAGGTACTTTACTGATTTTTTTCTACCAGAGCTCACAACTACCCCCCTATGATCTAGATTAGAGTTCTCTACCTTACAAGAGAAGTTAAGCTTAGAGCTGGTTAAACAACTTGCCCTATGCCATAGTAGGGCCAGGGAAGGGGACGGTCAAATGTGAGATTTGTTGGCAGGTCTGTGAGGCTCCACTAGGGCAAAACAAAGTTCTGGGTAGGTGAATCCATCCAACCCCACTTACATTCCATGGTGTCTTCATTGGCCTGTTCAGTGTCTTCAATGTCAAAGACTTCTGTCATCTCCTTAACAATCTCTGCACTGAGATGGGTAGGCAAAGTGTGAGTGGGTGGTGGTAGTGTATAGAAGGTGATCTTCCCGCTGAGTGGGGAGGTGGAGAAAAAAAAATGGTGGTTATGTCGTTAAGAGAACAAAAGAACACTCAGAGAGAGGATGAGTTCCTAAGCCAGAAAAGGTGAGGTACAATGAGGAAACTGAGACAGTGGCCTCTGAAAACACAAGGGGTTGAGTTATTAGTACAAAAAAAAAAAAAACCTCACTGCCATCAAGTCAATTGCGACTCATAGCAACCCCTGCTTGGGTTTCCGAGGCAGTATCTCTATAGAAGTAGATTGCCCAGTCTTCCTTCCAAGGAGTCGCTGGTGGGTTTGAACCACCAGCCTTCTTGTTAGCAGTCAAGTGTCTTAGGCACTATGCCACCAGAGCTAGGCATAAATACCCAATCAGGGAATGACCTGGGGCTTTGCCCTTCCCCTGCTCTGGGACCCAGGAAGTCAAACTGTCCCACTGACTGCAACAATTACAGATGAGCCACTTTATGGTACCTACCTTCCAGTGGGCCTCACCCTTACCCTGAGACGACTCCTCACCTCACCCAGTCAGCCAGGACAGCTTTGGCTGCCTGTTCCTGACTGTATATGCCTCCCTTCTTCTTCTTTCCCAAACGGCGGGCCACTGCAGTCAGAAAGTGCTCAGTGGTCTGGAACCCAGAGATGCCATAATAGTTGGAAATCTGGTTAAGGTCAGAAAAAGAAGTCATGAGAAGAACAAAGGGCCCTTGGAATAGGATAGGGTACCAACAAGGAGCTCTGCATACCTCCTCCATGTTGCAGCGCTGCAAGATAGTCTCCACTGGGGTCACTGGGTCTATTAGCTTCTGTATATGGATGCAGTTGCGCAAGATGGTGCCCACCTCTGAGTTGGGTCCTGGGACAATGCCTGGAGCATCCAGTAGCCGAATGAACTTGTCCAGGTAGACCTCCTGCATGAACCTAGGACAGGAGGGGAGACAAGAGAAGAAAGAGGACATTCAGAAACTCAAATGTGTCTAGCATCCTGTAGGCCCCAGTCTCAGGTTGGGCCGAGGTAGGCAGTAAAGTCAGATGAAATTGACTTACAGATGGAGAGGGAGATATATAGGACTGAGGACTCTGAAGCCCTATAGACCTGAGACTGATTCTAATCTAGCCATCCTGAGGACTGAGCTGCAGGACCCTGAACAGTTTTCTGGCTAAGGCTTAGCCGCTTCACTTAGGAAATACAGCTACTTATTAGACTTATTAGTAGCCCCATCTCGCACAGTTGTTAGAGGGATTCAAGGAGTTAATGGGAGAGAAGACTCAGTGGGGTGTATGGTCCACACCTAGGTTGTGCCAGGTATATGAGGGCTGTTACTGAGTTCTCATGCCTGGCAGAAGATGAGAGGTAAGTCCAAGCTGAGGAAAGGAATAGAGGCTAAATACATGACAGTCATGGGGAACGTTAAAGTCAAGGAGTTGTGGAGGGGGAAAGCAAGCAGATGCTTACTTGGTGACTCCAGGAACGGCTCCCACACTGCATGCACGGCTCCGCTTCAGACTATTAATCAGGCTGCTCTTTCCAACATTGGGAAGGCCTACAAAGTAGCAGCAGGTAGCTCAGGATAGGAAAGACCCTCAGATCATTCAGGTCAATCTATGAGGTAGGCCCAGGCAGGGGTAGTAAGCAAACCACTGGAGAGCCAGAAAGTCTGGCCTCCTGCCTGCCCATCCCAGCCCATGACCAAGTTCCTAGATGGCATCTCTATACATCTCCACTTGTGAACATGTGGGGTAGACATGTCCCTCTCTGTAGATGTGACCACCACCACAACCCACTGCCATCAAGCCTACTGCAACTACAGTTACCCTATAGGACAGAAAACAACTGCCCCATAAGGTATCTAATGCTATAAATCTTTACAGAAGCAAACTAACATATCTTTTTCCCATGCAGCACTTGGTAGGTTCAAACCAGTGACCTTTTGGTTCTCAGCTGAGCACTTTAATCACTGCATCATCCTTCTCTAGTCTGTCTCAACATCTCCCATTCTGACCACTGTCTCTTCCGAGTCTCTCATCCTACTAAATTATGCCTCTTAGTTTGTTTCTGTACATTTCCCTTCTCTCTCTCAGCTTGTTTCTCTTATATGTATGTCCCTTTATATATGTTTCACTGTGTTTTTTTTTCCTCTCTCCTTAACCCATTTCATGGGAGCTCTGGTCTAAGGCACTTGACTGCTAACCAGAAGGCTGGCGGTTCAAACCCACCAGCCACTTCTCGGAAGGAAGATGGGGCAATCTACTTCTGTCGTGATACTGCCTTGGAAACCCAAGGAGGGGTCGCTATGAGTCGGTCCAACTCAACGGCACATAACAACAACAAAAACCCTTTCTATACATCTGTCTCTACTTCTTTATCCTTACAATGTTTGTGTATTTGCCTCTGTGACTTTGAGTACATGATTGTATCTCAGGCTTGTAGTGTATCTGGACACATGTCCCACTGTGCCCAATCTCTCTGTAACTACATTTGCTTTAGGGAAGCAGATTTGGGGTAGGTATGTGTGTGAGGAGTTTAGTCTACACACATTGTGCCTCTGTATCTGTCTGTTTCCAGGTTTGTCTCTTCCAGGTCTATACGTGTTTCACATGTGCGTTATTTGTATATGAGTGCTTATGGTTCAGTATGTGTGTATGTGTTCCTCTGTGCCTACATCTTTGTTCCTGTTTGTTTCTATGTGTATCTCTCTCCGAATCTCTCTACCCCTAAGGGTGCCTTCCTCTCTTGTTCTCAGAGTATGCATGTCTGTCTCTCTACATACATAGGGTATCTCTCTAAGTCCCTCTTATGTCTCTCTGCATGTCTCTGTGCACACATCTGTGTCTTTCTCTGTCCCACTCCCCAACAACCCCATCATTTTGTTTCCCAGTTCTTTTTCTATCCAGCTCTGTGTCTATCCAGGCAAGCGTATCTCTATTTTTTTCTCAGTGTCTAACTCTCCCTCATCTTTCTATCTAGGCTTCATTTCTCTCCCTGATGATCAGTCTCTGACTCTCTCAAATTTCTCTCTCCCATTCCAAATGCCCTGGGTTCCAGACAGGCCCAGGTTTGAATCTCAGCTCTGCCTTGTCTCACACAGGGCTGGTCCCACAAGTGCCTGTTTCCTTCTCTGGGCCTCAGTGTCCTCATCTGTAAAAGGGAGACACTTCACAGCTCTGGCAGGATGAAATGGTGTCAACTCCAAGCCTGGCCCCATGCATTTGGTCCATGATACTAACCCTCAACATATGATGATAATTCTTAGTGTTCTTTCCCATTCCTACCAAACAATTACAAATTAATTATAAAATGCTTCTGAACCACTCCCATCATCCCCAAAAAGGCAATACAAAGTTCCTAGGATCCTTTTCTTCAAAGAAGTCCCTGTGTGAGGAAGAAGCCTAGGCCTTATGACCACTCCCAGGCCTTACCCACAACCCCCACGCGGATGTGGGTGTGTACATCACCAAGGCGACAATAGTTCCCCAGAACCCTCATGAGGTTTTCAGCTCCAAAACAGGCCTTGCTTTTCAGCAGCGACTCAGAGGCCTGCTCTACTGGTACACTGCAACGGTTCTGGAAAATGAGGGGTATTACAAAAGAGGTTATAAGGTTGGAAATACAGTCCAAGCCCAGATTTCAAAGTCCCTCCTATACTCAGGAATTTTCAGATATTCCTTGTGGTCATTAAGATCCTTAGACTAAAATGAGGAAATCCCTCAAGATAGGCCCTGAATAACCTGCCATTTTTCTGCTCCCCTTGGAGTCCCTACAAGGCCTATTTTGTGACTTCATGTCTTTAGTCTTCTGTGTCTCTGCCTCTGCTTTGATCTGTCTCTTGCCTCCCTCAGCAGGGACAATATGAGACCCTGGCCATTAGGCCAGGTTTGAGTTCTAGTTCTGCTACTCACAGGACTATGTCAGAAAATTCTGCTTCCCTGCTTAGGCCTCAATGTCTTCATTTATATAAAAGGATACCCACCCTCCCTACCTATGGAGGGCTGAGACGGTGCCTGGCCCACAGCCTACCTTCCCTTGATTCCTCACACAGGACAAGGCCATTCCAGCCTGCATGTCTTTACTCCTGATGCCACCTCCTTGCCCAGAATGCCCTTTGTCCTCTTCCTCTTCCCTTACTTATTCACTACAGTATTGTTTCTAATACTGCAAAATCGGAATTAACCTAAATATTCATCAACAAGAAACAGGTTAAAAAGGTATATCCTTAAAATGGAATACAAATGAAATACAGGTGTTAGAAAAGGATGCTTACCACATTTCTGGCATCAAAGAAGCCAAAAAATTATAAATGAAGTATCATGTTTCAACCAGATTAGCAAAGATTTAAAAATTTAATTATATCATGTATAAGCAAGAGTGTAAGGGAATAGGCCATCTCATATATTCATCTATCCCACTGCTGGGAGGATAAACTGGTACAGCCATTACAGAGGACAATCTGTCAGTATCTAATAAAATGTAAAATGCATAAAGCCAGCCATTCCATCTCTTGGTAACTAACCTACACAATTGTCCATGTACTAATGAGATGTGTGCAAGGGTTTTTCTTGAGATTTTAGTTATAACAATGAAATACTGGAAACTAATTTTACGCAGCATCAAAAAAGTAGAACCTAAGAAGAAAAAAAGCAGGTAGCAGAATGACACTTATAACACCCCGAACTGTATTTTCTATATATATATACTTATAGACACACACACATACACACACATAACACAATGCAACACAACACACTGCCATTGAGTCGGATCCAACTCATAGACCCCTCCTTGGTTTTACGAGGTGGTATCACTATGGAAGTAGATTGCCCAACCTTCCTTCCAAGGAGTGGCTGGTGAGTTTGAACCGCCAGCCTTCTGCTGGTTAGCAGTCAAATGCCTTAGGCACTACAGAGACATATATTTATAAAAAAAGAAAAATGGAAGGATACACACCAAAATAACAATAGTGGTTACTACTGGGTATAGAAAAAGGGAACTAGAATTAGGGGTACTGGTGAACAGATATTTAAGATTTACCTATAATTGATTTTATTTTTCTCTATCTTATTTTTTTAATAAATAAGTTTTATCAAAACATTTTTTAAAATAAGTTTTACATATGGTACACTCAATTTCCCTCCCCAGAGGCAACCAGTTTCTGTAATACTTTAACAGTGTACAATGAAAATGTATTTCCATATTAATGATACAATTAGGAAGTACCATGATTTGTTTTTAAGAGAAAAAAAAATGGAGGTATTTATGTAAAAAAGTTAACAAGTTAACCTCTAGAGGTTTGGTTGTTAAGAGTGACTTTCCTTCTATCCTTCTACTCTTCCACATTTTCCAAATTTTCTACACAATATGTACTACCCTTACAACTAAAAACACTATGCTTCCTAAAAAGGGCTAATACAGGAAAGAGTAAAATGAAACTAATATAAAGTCACCTCAAAAAAAACAAACCAAACTCACTGCCACTGAGTCGATTTCAACTCATAGCAACCTCCATTTGGTTTCCAAGGCTGTAAATCTTTACACAAGCAGACTGCCTCATCTTTTTTCCACAGAGCAGCTGTGGGCTTGAACCACCAACCTTTTGGTTAGCAGCCAAATGCCTTAACCACTATACCACGAGAGCTCCTTTAAAGGCACCTAGTAGAGCAAAAAGCTCAAAGTTAAATTACCAAAGGGCTGGAGACTCTGGTTCAAGTCACTACCCCTAACCCTAGCCCCAGGCTACCCTGAAAGAGGCTAGATACCCCTATACTTAGGCTTACCAGGTTTTTAATCTGATACTGCGTACTGGCCTTGAAAGCCACAGTTGGCAGCTCACTCCGAAGGTAATCCAGCCACTTTTCCACAACCTCCTTGGGGACCAGGTCTGGGGAAAACAGAAAAACAGATAAGGCTGGTAAAGACATCATCACCTTGATGGCTCACTCCAAAGATGCTTCTACCCACAGCCAAGGGCAAGCACATCTCTTGGCAACAGATATTTCCACTGGCTCTTTCAGTCCTTCCCTAGTCTCCAGACTGGAGTTAGAAAACACACTTTGATCTGTGGGACCAGTTGGCTTCTTTTCCCTGTGGGAGAATGAGTAAACTAGCTGTTTGGTCTTAGATGCCCTCCTTCCAAGCCTGAGGCCTCACAAAGATTGTCTTTTCACATCCCCTCTCTAGATCATTCTAGGATAGGCTCAATATCAAGAACAACTCTGACAACAATAGTTATCATTTATGAAATACTGATAAAGTATCAAGCATTAAATGATAAAGTATCAAGCATTAAATGATAAAGTATCATTAATTATCACAACAACCCTGAAAGGCTGGGACAATCACTACTCATTTTACAGAGAAACCGAGGCTCTCAGAGGTAACATGACTTACCCAAGATGCTAGAGAAAATAAATAGCATGGCTGGGATGAAACCTAGACCCGAGGGACTCTTGAGCCCACGTGACCTCCTGCCCATCTACCTTGCAGGCTGTTAGTTATACCTCTTGCTGCCCCCACCTCCACCCATGTTTCCAACCATTTTTGGGGCTCCAGTTTGGGGGAAAAGTGTTTCCAAGGCTGTCCAGTCACAGGTAAGGCTCAAAATAGCAGGAAAAGGGGACTAAGAAGGAAGAAAGGCTTGGACTCCACCCCAAACTTCTATTATCATGTATGTGTATCTTTAGACAAGTGGTTTCACCTCTCATATTCCTGGCTTGAAAACTGGAACAAGAATTTCTACCTTATATGACTGTTGTGAATACCACCACTGAGTTGCCAGATCTTGGTGTCTGGTTCAAAGCCAGTCTTTCAAGAAAGTATGTATCCTTCCTTGCCTTACCCAATCCTGCCTAAGACCCACCAATTTTGTTCAAGACCAAGACCAGCTTCTTGTTGCCCTCTGCCCGCAGGACAGCCTCCTCCATTTGGAAGCAGCGGCAGCCCAGGGGGTCTCTGGCATCCAGGACTTCCAGAATCACATCAGAGTATTCCACTACCTGCAGGGCAAAGAACAGGGGAGATGAAGACAGGGAAAGGACTGGGTAGCAGTCATGCAGACCCATGAAAGAAAAGGTCTCCATCTCAGTCAGGAAAAACAGAAATGGAGAAAAGATGAAACTGGACTTGTGCCCTCCCTAAAGGACCTTAAGAAATGGGTCTCCATACCTTATGGAACTCCTTATAATAAGCCTTCCTTGTGGCTTCATCATCCAGCTGAGGAAACATATTTAATTCCTGCAAAACTTCCTCCTAAAGAAGAAAAAGAAAGTGGTCCAGGGAGACAAAAGAGAGCAAGCCAGGGCTTTGGGAACCATGGGAAGCAGCAGAACACACATGCGTCTCAGCCAACCCAAAAGAAGCTTTGACTAAACAACAAAGCTGGGAATTGGAAGACTAGAAAGATCCACACATGGTGCATATGTGTGCCTAAGTGTATATGTGTTCAAGCAGAGAACAACAGCCAGAAGCCTGTGCATACACATGGGTGTATGAAAAGGAATGTGAGAGGGAGGTATGAGAAAAACAACCCATGGGGCATGGGATGGGGAGGTAAAATGTATACTACATGTCAGAAATGGGAATATGATTTGGAAAGTATGAGATAACATTCCCCTCACACATGCTCCTTTCTCAGTCTTACAATTCTTCCTCATTCTCTCATTCCAAATCTCCCCTCTCTACTCTTTTATAATCCTTTCATCCTCCCTCTCTCAACCCCATCATCTCAGTCTCCCATTGTCTCTGCACTGATATCCTACTTCCCCTCTGCGGTGTAGTAAATTACTTAGTGTGGCTTTTCTACCCATAAGTCTTTGTAAACTCCAAGGTGGGATTTGCTATGAGCAACTGAGGAGCTCCTGAATGCTAAAGTTGTCCACCTGGAGTATTTCTGTTGGGA